CTTAAGAGGTGTCAGTCAGCCCACAAAAAGAAATCTGGACGGCTAATATGAATTCTATGCAAATTAGTTGTCTGATGTTGCATCAGACAGCCAATGGCGGCACAATAACCCATCCCCTAGTGAATATTATTAATGTCCCCTCCTCCCCCCCAGTTTTGACTGTGGTATCTTATGTGACTCCCCTATATATTGTTCCTAGAGTCGCCAATGCTTCAGGGGCCTGGTTGTGCACTGCAGTGCTTTAACAGTGCGACCAGGCTTCTGTAATAATGTAATAGCAGTGCACACTCAGTGCTATATACATTAAAAAAAATTCAAGTGTTTTTTACATTTTAAAGTGCGGGGGGAGAGAAGGGGGGTTGGGGTGCCAAAAAGAGGACCAACCAAGGGTGCCAAATGCTGTAGGTACGCCCCTGTAAATATCACACCTGTTTAAATATTATTCAGATGTGATAAATACCACACCTGTTTAAAAATTATTTATATACTGCTTAATGAAAAATCACAATTGTGTGACTCTATACTGTATTTCTGTGTACTCTCTAAATATTTTTGTTATTTCGGACTTGTATGCTCCACATTGCTCTCTTATTCTATACTTTTTCTTTCAAAATAAAAATAAAAAACGTGATTAACAGAGTGTGATGCGGTGGCTCTTTCTTAATGTAGGCATGTATTTTGGTCACAATCACATACTATGATCAGCAACAACATTAAAACCACCTGCCTAATATTGTGTAGGCCCCCTGGTGCTGCAAAAACAGCTCTGATGCGTCATAAAGGCATGAACACAAGACCTCAAGACCTCTGAACGTGTCCTATGGAATCTGGAACCTGTCCTGCAATTTGGGAGGTGGGAACTCCATGGATTGGATTCGTTGTTCCAGCAAATACCACAGATGCTTAATTGGATGGCAAACTTTGAACACTTTGTCATGTTCCTGAAACCATTCCTGAACACTTTTTGCAGTGTGACAGGGTGCATTATCCTACTGAAAGAGGCCACTGCCATCAGGGTACACCATTGCCATGAAGGTCTGTGGCTATGCAGCGCCATATGCAGCAAACTGTGATGCACTGAGTTCAGTAGAAAGTGGCTGTGAGCCATAGGACTGACTATGTTTTAATATCAATGTACTGGTCATGTCTTGAGTATTCTTCAGAGGAGTGAAAATACCATTCAGTATTAAACCCTAGAAGATAGGCTATTCTTAACCTTACCAAATGCAAATGGGGAATAGCTGCTTTTTAGATCAGATCATTCACTCATGCAGTGTGGAAGGCAGAGATGGGTCACTGGCCTAATTCAAGATAGTTATTGGGCTTCATATCATCAAACATGGTGGGTGTGTGGATATAGAGGGTGGCAAAGGCCAGCCACACTCTGGTTTAGATGGAGTTTTTGGAGGTCCTCCAGCACTTATCTGTATTTAATTAGGTAAAAAGCCATTAATCAGCTCCGACCACCCTCTACCCACCCTATATGGCATTACGAGTTGTGAGGAACCTGGTAGGTAAGAATAGTTGTAACTATAGTTGTAGGTCTGCAGTCATTAAATGAACTGTGCTACTCCAAATTGCGATCAACATTTTATTATTCAGCCAGTGTAAGGAGACACATCAGCATTTCAATCTGACTAGGGTTATTGTAGACCTGCTTCATGCATGCTCAGAGCTCGGAAAGCACTTACAGTAAAATATGTATGCTTGTAGAATGTGCTAAAGCTTAACATAGGTTGTGAAATGGAAAAGGGATTAGTGATTTAATTGTTTTCTATGACATTATCCACAGGTCAATGTATCACTTTAAGCAGCTTTAGTGTTTGCTAATGGTAATGACTGAATAGTAAATCATGCATTTGTCACCAACATTTGCATTTTTAAATGCTGATATCTTCTGAATAAAAAGGGTATTGGTAGAGAAAAACACAGAAAGTACACATCATAATATAGTTACTATGAACTATTTCTGTAAACTCTCATTATAATTCTTTTAAAGATATTTGATTTATTAGTAGGGCTCTACTTGACCCCACATGTTCAGTTCGAAAGCATGAGTAGTAAATCTAGATTAATTAAATACATTGAGGCAGAATTCTTTTAGACTTGTGCATTCTCCAAATCGAGATTTGGCCAAATTCTGGCTGATTGAGTGTTTGGCCGAAGTCTGTATTTCTGAGGCATTATGAAGATGAAACAGAGCAAATGACTAGGTGATGCCGAAACATAGTTGGATGCTTTGGGATTCAGGGTTCCACCCAGAACACCAAAAAAAAAAAAGAAGAAGAGGAAGCTGTTTAAAAAAATATATAAATAAAAAAAATGTCAAGGTTGGTAAATAAGCTAATTGGTTTATCATGATGGACAATAGGTTTGTCTAATGATGTGGGCTGCATCTGCTGTTTAACCAAGAGGTGTAAAAAAAGGTCATTGATGGTTAGATGACCATCACTAAATCTTGATTTTATTCACAGACCAAGTGAGAAGTGACCAATAAGGGAAAAAAGCAGCAGGAAAAATATCTATACTTCCACCCAGGTTTGTTTTAGACACTTTGACTGTAACCATTGAGAGACAAGCCAGCAGAGAGGGATTGCCTGCTTTCCCCCTGGCTGAACCTGTGTGGGAATGGGGGGTAGGCTGTGCCATTGATCCTAGTGTGAGACTGGTTAGGCTCAGGTTACTGATGTGCCTGTCAAGTTTGTAGAAAGAAAATAATTTTTCAGATGGAGTGTGCTCAGTGCTGTGTGCAGTGTAGTGTTTCTTAAAGTCAAAGACAATAATGTTACAACACATCAGTGGCGGATCTAATGTTGAGAGGGCACTGGTGCATCAAAATGTTTTGAACCCTAAGCTTGGCCAAAAGGTAGATCCACATCTGCAGAGGTGTGTTTGTGTGGTGTTGGCATTTAAATGCAGGTGAACATTTGTGTGTAGTGTTAGTGTTTGAATGAAAGCGTGTTTGTAAATAACCTTGACAATTTAATCCGAGGGTGTTTTGATATATAATATTTGTGTGTGATTGCAGGGGGGCATTTGTATGTAGTGTTAGCATTAAAATGCTGGTTTACACGTGTGTGTGTGTAGTGTTGGTGTTTGGATGAAGGGATGTATTTATACGTAATTTTGGAGTTTGACTGCAGGAGTGGGTTTTTATGTAACATTTGCCTGTTATTGCAAGGGTTTGCATGTAGCGTTGGTGTTTGATTGCTGGGATTTATGCACATACACATTCACTATAAAATTGCTACTTAAACAGATACACATACACATTGACACACACAGATACACTCATTGACACATACACGCTAACATATTATTATTATTAGTATTATTATTTATACTGGCATTTATAAAGCGCCAACATATACCACAGTGCTGTACAATTTGGAAAGACAACACGATAAGAACAGACCGATACAACAGGTATAGGGCCCTGCCCGTGAGCTGACAAGCTAAAGGTTTAATTGGGGGAGATAAGACAAGATGTAGCATATACACATATATATACAGTACATTGACACATTTATAAATACACAGACACTTACACAGATACACATGCTTGCACGTACACATACCTTGCTTCTATGACATTTAAAGCCCAAAATTATATTCCCAAGGTTGGTACCAGAACATAGACTAAATAATGAATTTAAGAACTGGATTTCAGATCTCAGAAATAGGGAATATTTAGAAAGTCTAGAAAACATTAATTTTCTGGTATAAGGGTATAGATGTAATATAAAAGAATGTTTGCTTGAGGGCCAATGAGTATTAAAGTGGACTTTGAATTTGAATGATAGGTCATTTTGGCAAACTGCCTGCATTTATTGTTGCTCCTTTGAAAAGCAGTAGCTCTTCCTCGGAAATGTGTTTATCGATTTAAGATCTATATCTAAGGCAGGATGTCTTGACAAGACTTACAGAATAATTCACTAAAGTAGGAATTCAAATTGAATTTAAATTGATTTAACTTCTACATGGCAGATAATGAAAGAAGTTACACTGGGCAGGGCATGTACTATGAAAATAAAACCACTTAAAGGGACACTATAGTCACCTGAACAACTTTAGCTTAATGAAGCAGTTTTGGTGTATAGAACATGCCCATGCAGCCTCACTGTTTAATCCTCTGCCACTTAGGAGTTAAATCCCTTTGTTTATGAACCCTAGTCACACCTCCCTGCATGTGACTTGCACAGCCTTCCATAAACACTTCCTGTAAAGAGAGCCCTATTTAGGCTTTCTTTATTGCAAGTTCTGTTTAATTAAGATTTTCTTATCCCCTGCCATGTTAATAGCTTGCTAGACCCTGCAAGAGCCTCCTGTATGTGATTAAAGTTCAATTTAGAGATTGAGATACAATTATTTAAGGTAAATTGCATCTGTTTGAAAGTGAAACCAGTTTATTTTTTCATGCAGGCTCTGTCAATCACAGCCAGGGGAGGTGTGGCTAGGGTTGCATAAACAGAAACAAGCTAAATATGTTTTGGTGCTGGTAGTGACCCTTTAAATTTGAAATTCACTTTGAATTCTTACTATAGTAAATAACCCTGTTAGTGTATTTCTGGGAACACAACCCAGCACAACAGACTTGAGGTGGTATAAAAGTTCTCCCTGTCTCTCTGCCAGCATTCACATTTTCCGTGCAGCAACTTTGATTTTAATTGTGATTTTTTTTTTTATTCTCCTAGGTTACATAGTTACATAGGCTGAAAAGAGACATGTGTCCGTCTAGTTCAGCCTTCCTCACATCTGTTTTTTTGCTGTTGATCTAAAAGTAGGCAAAAAAAACCCAGTTTGAAGCACTCATCCCTTTTTGCTTTTGACCAAGTGTGTTTGCAAAAAAACAAGAGTAAAATGAACACACCAGAAGGGGGGAGGGTTACTTCCTGCATCGTCCTCTAGAAAGGGAGGGACAATCCCTGAAGACATCAGTTGGAAAAAAAAGAAATATCCAGGAACACCTAAACGTTTCTGCTAAAAGGCAGTCTTTATTTGAAACAAGGAAGTGGAGACAATGTTTCGGCTCCTCTCTGAGCAAACTTAATCAAGGCTCAGAGAGGAGCCGAAACGTTGTCTCCACTTACTTATTTCAAATAAAGATTGTACTTTAAGAAGAAACCTCAGGTGTGCCTAGCTATTTATTTTTTTCCATTTGACCAAGCGTGTGTCATCTCCTGTTCCTTAGTGCATCAATACATGAAGTCTTCTGCCATAACTAATTTTCTTCTGTTGCAGAACTTTGGACTGTTACTATTTCCGGATTTCCATTTTTGGTAGAACAAGGGAAATCATCCTCTTCACATCAGCACTAAGGGGTCATCAAAGCCATCAGCATACTATATCATGAAATCGTAAACATCTCCATGCATTAGGAAAATTGATTTCTGCAGATGGTAGATTTTTCATATTTCTGTTTAGAAATATTACCCTTGAGATATTTTGAAAATTTACTTGGACATACACACAATGTATCTTCAGCAGCTACGAAAAAGTTAGCAAACTATTTTTTTTATAGCTGCAGCTATCAAATATTGCCCATTACTGTGCCAGCAAGTCAGTAGTAACACAGTAATTTGCAGTTCTTGGGATTGATTTGTGAATCCAGTGTTACCTTGGATGAAGCCAAGACATTCATTATTGTAGTGGATTATTAAAAGTCACCTGTTGCGTGAATTATATTCGAAAATTATTTCTTCCAGCACCTGAATGACACCTCTGGTTGCATTTCTTGCCTCTTTTAGTAGATCTTATAGCTGCACATATCACCTTGTCCATCTATACTGGAGAAAATTGATCTTGAAACAAATTAGATTTTCCACCATGTTATGTCATGCAGTGAAATATTTGCTTTTATTTTTTTCAACCAAATACATTCCATTCTACAAGAGATTGAAATAAAGTTGTTGACATGATAAAAGTTACTGTAGAGATAACGATATAAGATTGTTGCGTAATGAATGTAAGTAATGTTCAGATTGTTTCTAAAAAGGTTTACATAAACAAATCATTTTAAGATGCCTTAAGATAAAATGATATTTAAGTAGGTGAATGCAACATCTTTCATTAATTATGACAATTGTATAACTTTCCTATATCTACATCAAAATTTACATGTAATATAAGAAAAATATATTGTTATAATGACCTTTATAATGATTATAATTTACTTTATATATGATGACCCCTGTACTCCACCAAAAGTTCCTTCAATGGGGACATGACCATCAGACCTGGACCATGAAGCAATGGATGAAGGTTGCCTGGTCTGAGGAATCACATTTTCTTTAAATCAGGTGGATGGCAGGGTGTGTGTGTATCGTTTACCTGGGATGAGATGGCAGAAAGATGGACTGTGGGATGAAGACAGGCAGGCAGTGTTATGCTCTGGGCAATTCCCGGTGACAAATCCGCCCAGAACTACACGGGAGGACCTTGTTAATGATCTCAGGCAGCTGGGACCATAGTCACCAAGGAAACAATTAGTAACACACTATGCTGTGAAGAACTGAAATCCTGCAGCGCCCGTAAGGTCCCCCTGCTCAAGAAATCACATGTACAGGCCTGTCTGAAGTTTGCCAATAGACATCTGAATGATTCAGAGGAGAAATGGATGAAGTGTTGTGGTCAGATGAGACCAAAATTGAGCTCTTTGGCATCAATTCAACTCGCCGTGTTTGGAGGAGGAGGAATGCTGCAGATGACCTCCACTGTCAAACATGAAGGTGGAGACATTATGCTTTGGGGGTGTTTTTCTGCTAAGGGGACAGGACAACTGCACCGCATAAAAAGGGACGATGGACCGGGCCATGTACCATCAAATATTGGCTGAGAACCTCCTTCCTTCAGCCAGGGTATTGAAAATGGGTTGTGGGTGAGTATTCCAGCATGACAACGACCCAAAACACGCAGCCAAGGCAACAAAGGAGTGCCTCAAGTAGAAGCAAAATAAGGTCCTGGAGTGGCCTAGCCAGTCTCCACACCTTAATTCCATATAAAACTGTGGAGGGAACTTAAGGTTTGAGTTACCAAACATCAGCCTCAAAACCTTAATGACTTGGAGAAGACCTGCAAAGAGGAGTGGGACAAAATTCCTCCTGAGATGTGTGCAAACCTGGTGGCCAACTACAAGAAACGTCTGTCCTCTGTTATTGCCAACAAGGTTTTTGCCACCAAATACTTATTCCACTCATTGACGTGCAAATTAATTTATAACTTTTTTTACATGCTGTAACAGAACCCCTGTTATTGCCTGGAAACCCAGACTCAACCGTGTACAAAAGCCCCTTTTTACAGACCCTGTATTTGTTTCATGCAGCTAAGAAAAGACCGTTCATTTAAAATCATTCACTTAAAATGAATGATCATGTATTTTGCCAAAATCCGTTCGTATACCGAATCTTTTGTCGAACGACTGACCACCCAGAGCAGGAGTGTGGCACCAATTAACCACCTTTATCTGTAAAAACCGCAAACACCTCAACGTTCTAATGGATCAACAGGGTGGTCGGTGGTCGGCGTTCGTCTATGCGAACATGTGGTGGCGGCAATTTTGTCTAGTCGAACGCACTCAACGGTGTTTGGCCGTCGAATGGGTGGAACTTATTCTGGCTACCTTTTCCGCGAACACCACTGAAAGATCTACCTTCCGTGCGTTCAACTAGAAGTATGCGACCAGAGCGCTATTTCGTGAGCATAATCATACGAACAGGATGTATTCATTGTTAGCAGACATGAACGGTTCCGTTCATGCAATTTGTATTTATTGTGAAGAGAAAAATAGACTGAATGCACAGACTAAATCCGTGGAACTGCTTTGGGCAGGGAAATGTGCGAACGGTCGGTCACATCCACATTTCAGCTAACTCCCGAACCACCAGTCCGATTCGACTCAATTTTGGATATGTTGTTCACCTGAATATGCTGTTTAATATGCTGTTGGATGTATAGTTTTAAAGTTACAGAAAGTGTATAAAAGTAGTTTTTAGCTTGGAGATAATTGAGCTGATATAACAATTAACTCAATTATCTCCCAAGCAGAGGGGAGGAATGTACAGTGATGAATAGGTGTGTTTTTACTGTAAATCTGTAACTGATTGGCTGCTGCGTTTTCATCTTCAGTGCCTCACAGAGTCCACGTGGGTGGTAACTTTGCTGTAAAATATGTATAAAAGAAACTGCTTGTGTGGTCATTAAAACAGTTCTGCTTAACTCTTTAAAACATAGCCTAGTCTCGTTACTGAAAGGGAATCTGCTCCAGCTTAATTACCAGCTCTTTTAAGAGCTCTGCTTCTCTCTCTACAACGGATGGGATATCGTGACTACCCTGCAGCACAGCCTCTTGCTGGGAAAAAGAACGTCTCCAACGGCAGATACCCCTCTACAACCTTGGTAGCTGTTACACATGCATTTTTTTTTTATTTCTTTTTTTTTTGTTATTCTGTCTCTCACTGTTAAAATACACCTACCATTAAAATTATATCTTGATCATTTCTTTGTCACTGGCAAACATTCAAAATCAGCAGGGGATCAAATACTTTTTTCCCTCACTGTAGCTCTTAATTCACCAGTAATTAAAATTCTGATTCAACGTACCATTGACTATATGACTATATATGACGATATAGGGAATACCTATTCTACACTGCAATCCTTCATTGTAGTAACTGTTAGACTAATGAGCAGTGGAAATAATTTAGTTTGGGCAAATCAATTTGTACAAAAAGAACAAAAAACTAAAATTTGTTTTGGTGGCGTTTTGGCTCAAATGAATTTCATCCATGTTATCGTGTTGGGAAAAATTAATAAAAAAGGTATGAAAATGGGTCCTGATTAGCACAGGGGAAACATCCAGTTACTCGTGCAGGAGAAGCCAGATGTGGACAAAAGTGCCAGAGGAAGTCAAGCCATTCATAAGTTGTTAAACCATTCCTAAAGATCTTAAAAAATAACATGCCAGCAGAGGAGCAATTGGGAGCAACAAGAACGTTCAGTTTCTAACTCCTCAGCTGCTTTTCGACTGAGTCGTTATTATGAATGCAACTGAAATAAAGTATACATTGAAGTTGCATGGGCCGCTGCTCTCCTATAGTAAAATAATTATATACATTCAAATCTTATTCACTTGTTAGACCTTGACACCAACTATTTCAGAGGTCACTGATTTAGAATAAGGGTGGCCTCAGCAGCCTCTAGTAACCATGTGCTACCACACATAATCAATCCATAATGAATTGGTTTGGTGGAAATCCACCGCATACATGAGATACTTGACTCAGCTCATAAAAGAAATGTGAAGGGTTGTGAAAAGGCTTCCGTATGATTATAAATGTTCATAAAGTGCACTTTGGAATATAATGACCTTTGCCTTCTTTATTAAGGCCTAACACAATCGAAGATTAGGCCCACCACAGCCAACTCTCTACAACCATAAAAAATTGAGCCCTGAGCTCAAACTTCCACTATTCCTGGGTAGCAGCAATAACTATAGTATGCATCAGCCATGATACATACAATAAAAAACAAAGAAAAAAGTCCCTAAAAATATCTAAGGCCAAACATATCCTAAGATTAGGCACATCCCAGCCAACTCTCTACAACCACTCATATATCACATTTCTCGGCTGAAGTCCACAAATGCAAATGTAAGGTGGGGGCTTGGAGTTGTGATTGTAGTTTGCTGTTTTATGTCAGAGCACCCTGCTGGATCCACTTATTGTGTCTTGACAGCTGGTGGAAACCACCCAGCTCTCACTTACATTATCTCCTCTGCTTGTCCTCTTTATAATGGTCTAATACACTCTTTGGTTTAGACACACCACAACCAACTTTCTACAACCACTGTAAGTGTATAAATGATATATCACATTTCTCAGTTATGGTCCCTCACCACAAAAAAATAAATAATAAGTGCATTCATATATAATGTTTTAAAGGCCGTATCATTTTTCCTATTTATTGACCTTTAATAAATCAAAAACCCTGGAGAAAAAACATAGCGATCCATAAATATTTACCTTTGAGTTGCAGCAGCTCTTCTGTAAATCAAATGTTCAGCAGCCAGCTGCCCGTGAGTTCTTAATAAAAATGGTAATG